CCCTCCACCTCTTATCTCTCCTTCCCTCCCTCCCCTACCCTCTCCCCTTTTGGGCATATGGTTTGCAATACCTATAATGCAAGATTATCAGGTATATCCCTTTACCTACTTTCAACACTCAGTTCCTGTCCAAAATGATCATTTCCATCTATTGTCATGTTGGTTCCTCCTCTATCCTAACTGCCCTTCCCCCCTCTCCCTGCCCCTTCCCCTTCCCCCTCCACACTCTTGTGGCAAGCTTACAACCATTGACTAGTCCTCCTAGCTCCTGTTGACCCTTGCCTTGGATATTAGTCTTATTTTATATATATATATATATATATATATATATATATATATATAAGTTAGGCTACTCAACAACAAATGAATGAATAAAGAAATTGTGGCATAAATACAATGGATTTCTGCTCTGCTGCAAGAAAAGATAGAAAAGATACATTGGGACAACATGGCTAGAACTTGGGGAAGTCATACTCAGTGAAATAGATCAGGAGAGTGATAAATAATCTCACTCATACGTAGGTATAAAATAAAGCAAAGGAGCAGACAATGTCCAGTGAAAATAAGCTCTGATTCTGATTGCAGAACTGAAGTTATTAAAGGAGGAGAAGGCTGAAAGGATAAAGGGGGTCCAATGGGTTTCAATGGAGGGATAGTGATAGTTGGATGGTAGGTGTGCTGTGGTAGCATTGTACCCCTAAAATATAAACATCTCTTGTCTTGTAAATCAACACCAATTCCATAACAATTTTTTAAAAGGGGCCAGAGAGGTAATACAGGGATTAAGGCACATGTCTTGCATGTTGCTGACCCAGATTTCAATCTGGCACCCAAAGCTCCCATGAGCATTTCTGGGTACATGCCTACAGGCCTCCCCCGCACTTTATTGTGACCCTAGAAATTGCAAAACCACATCTTTGGGCCCTCACATTGAACTGCCAGCCTGGTAGACTGAGAATTACCAGACGGGCTCCAGGCTCTCCTGAGCACGGTTTGGAAGGCCCAAAATAATGATGATAACAATAACAACAACAACAACAAAATTTCTTTCTCTGGGGCTGTTAGAAGAGATAGCCCAAAGTTCTGGTTCGCACGTGGAACTGGGTTTTGATGCCCCCTAAATGATCCTCCAACACTCCAGCAAGGACCCCTGAGTGGCAGGGCTAGTTCTTAAACATTGCTAAGTGTAGCCACTCCCCCTCCAAAGAAAACTCAGTAAGTTCTTTCTCTAAGTTAAAGTTCTTATCTTTGGCATTGTGACATTTTTGACTGCACAACTCTTTGTTTGGGGCACTGTCCTTTGGATGTTTATTTTTATTTATTTATTTATTTATTTTGCTTTTTTTGGGTCACACCTGGCGATGCACAGGGGTTCCTCCTGGCTCATGCACTCAGGAATCACTCCTGGCGGTTCTCAGGGGACCATATGGGATGCTGGGAATCGAACCCGGGTCGGCTGCGTGCAAGGCAAACGCCCTACCCGCTGTGCTATTGCTCCAGCCCCTCCTTTGGATGTTTAACCACACCCCTGGTCGATATACACTAGACACCAGTGGCAACCAATATTGTCTCCAGACATTCCAGATGTCCGAGATGAACGGCGATTGCCTTGGATTAGGAATCACTGGTCTAAAAGAATTAGCAACAGTCACAGAGTTTGGGAGGAAAAGAGGGACATGATCTTATCTATGTTTTTTGAAGATTACTTAGGGCCCCTCATGTAAATATCATTGAGGTGAGTGGCAGAAAAGAAGCAGGGAGCCCATTCAGGATGATCTGGGGGATGGAATGAAGAATGTCACAGGAGGTGTGGTTGGAAGTTGGAGGTATCCTGCAGAATCACGATCACGATCACGACCATCCTGTTATTCGTCGATTGCCTCGAGCAGGCCCCAGTAATGTCTCCTTCGTCCTAGCCCTGAGATTTTTTAAAAAGTGACATATTCGAGGCTCTTTCAGAGTTAGGAGAATGAGACCCATCATTGTTACTGGTATTTGGCATATTGGGTATGCCACTGGGAGTTTGCCAGGCTCTGCCATGTGGGCAGGCTACATTCGGTAGCCTGCCAGTCTGTCCAAAGTAGGAATGAGATAATAAGACATTTGCGGCCACACACTTCCGGGAGCTGGGTTTTATAGTCTCTGAGTCTTGGCCGTTGATGGGATTACATGGCGCCAGGGGGCCAGTTGATGGGTGTGACCCCCACCTACTGGAATTTGGAGGATCTGGGTGGAGGATGCTCAGACCCGATCCGAGTAGGCTTGGAGATTTCAGTCCCGGGACCCGCATGCCTTTGTTCCTCTGCCGGTACCTTCATATGTGTGGAGAGTGGTTTCAGCATGGTGGTGGCTGGTTCTGGAGCCGAAGACCTCCAGAACCAGCCACCACCATCCTGCAGAATAAAAGGTAAAGGCCCTCCCGTTGATCGTCGATTTGCTCGAGCGGGCCCAGTAACGTCTCCATTGGAGACTTTGTTGTTACTGTGTCTGGCATATCGAATACTCTCGGTAGCTTGCCGGGCTCTCCGAGAGGGGCGGAGGAATCGAACTCGGGTCGGCCATGTTGGCCGCTTGTAAGGCAAATGCCCTACCTGCTGTGCTATCGCTCCAGAGCAAATCCTGCAGAATATTAGCCAGTAATTAAAGAAGCAGAATATTAGCCAATGAGATGGAATAGTAAGAAGCCAAGAGGAACCTTGGCCAAAACAACGGGAAGGGCAGCCAGGAACTGGTTGCTGAGGTGGGGAAGCATGTGTGGAACTGGTCTTGGTGTGAAACCAGGTCTGCAGATTCAGGCAGGTGGAGTTCGAAATAAATTTCCAGTAATCCATGTGGGAAAATATGAAGTGCTGAACTGGACAGTGACCACAGAGATGGATAGGTGCTTAGGATTTAAGATATTACCGATTTGGTAAAAAAACAAAAGGGAAAAAGATGGTTTGACAATCAACAGAGATAGATGGATTTGAGGTGGAAGGGGACAGCCAAGAGGAAAGATCTAGTATGGAGTTGGTGGTTCCGTTTTGATTCTCAGGAGAGGTCATGAAGCCAGAGAGAAGGAAAATCCATCCCCAGGAGGAACAAGGAGGCAGACAAAAAGGGCTGATTAAGGACAGGGGGTGAACCAAGGAATAGTCAAAGGCAATCAGGGAGAACAGTGGTTCAGGAAAGTCCAAACCCAGTCAACAGAACCTCAGTTCAGCAACACTAGGCTACTATGCCTGCAACCAAACCCAAAGTTGTTGTGTGTTGTTATTGTTGTGTGAAAGCCTTGGGCCAGCTTCTGGTGACAAAAAGTTCTCATTTATTGAGAAGTGGTTATTTCAACTTAGCCCTGTGTGTTAAAATCCAGACCTGTAAAATCACAAATCATAATTCTTCATCAAACTATTACTTACTGATGTACTAATACGCATTATTGGATTTCAGAGGAAATCATTCCTTACTTAAATCTATCCTTCAAGAGAGGACATTGGGCTGGCTGAACCCTAGGAAAGCTGCTTTCTTTATTGTTTGTCTGCGCTACACTGTGTGTGTACTTAGATTTAAAAAAAAAATCCTTTACCTGCTATTTGCGTGTAAAATGAAAAGATTCTGAAAACCTTTAAGGAATCATTCAGAAATCACAAGTGTGTTAAAGGACAAGTAATTTGAATTCGGCCCAACTAAGCCATTTATATCTATGCAAAACAGCGAAAAGAGAAAAGTACTCCGAGTAAAGGTTAGAATTACATTGAAAAAAGATCTTCATTCTTATCCAATAGACCCTGCATTTTCACACCTCCTGATTTCCAAAGCCCGGCTTACGCAATCCCCTGACGAGTACATCAGAGAGCTCTGGGTGCTCAGGTTTTGACGAAGAAAGCTGAGATCCCTCCTCTCACCCACTTCTCTAAAAGCATCCCAACCTGGGATTGCCAAAGGTTTCCAAACACATTTCTAGTAGCTCCTTTGCGTGCTGCAACTAACCGTCCCTGGATTTTCCTCTTTTCCACCCACTTTCCAAAATAATCACGGTCACTCAATCACTCGCAATTACATTCCAACTAGGAACATTCGGAGCCCTTTCTGGCAGGTGTGTGCAGGCACGAGAATGAGACTCTTTCTGAACTTGTCCTTACAAATTCGGTCCCAGTACTGACGTCAGAATGACCTGAGCAAAGGAAGAAGATCTGGGGAGCGCAAAGGTTTTTCTACTTCCATCAGAGCTGAGAAGCTGGAGGGTGGCTGAGAGGGGCAGATTAGGGTTAAGGACTGGAGTAACTTTTCTCACCAAACAATCTAGCTGGGCCCCTTCTATAATTCCAGCAAGGCTTTCAATAACCGAGTGGAGATGGCCCGAGTGAAGTCAAAGAAGGGGAAGCAGAAAGCTGTGTGTTTTTCAGTGGTTGGAAGAGAACACGCTTTTCTTCCAAAATAAGGTGTACACATTAACTGCTCGGATTCCTCCAACTCTCCCTGCGACACGGAGGGGGAGGGCACTGACATTAATATTAACGTGTTGCCACCCGTCTCGGGGCAGTGGCACCGACGCTGGGCGCGCCGAGCCTCGGGGCTGCCAAGTTTGTACTTCGAAGGTTCTCCAGCTCTGGGGCGGGCCTCAAAACAACCAGACCCCAGGGGACCACGCGCTGGAGGCGACTCAAGACTGGGCCACGAGACCCAGCTGTCATGCCGATGTCCAGCCTGGGCAGGAGAGACGGCGGTGCAGACCCCAGCGGGCCCCAGCAGGCCGTGCCCGTTTCGGAATCGGCTCCGATCTGGAGCTTTCGCCGCGGTCCCCAGCGACGTGTCCGCAGGCGGAGTGACTTGCCGAAGTTACTCACATCCCAGCACTCTCTGCCCTTCCCCCGGGCCGCTCCCCCTCCGCGCCCCCTCCCGTTCCCAGAACGGCTGTTTTCCCCTTCAAGTGCAAATAACCCCAGGGGAGGAGGTGTGGCCATCTGGTGGGAGACTGGGGTGCGAGGCCGATGCCTCCCGGGGGACGGGACGGTACTCACAGGACCAACAGCTGTCCCGCGTAGCCGGCCTAGGGAGGATGCGTAACGGGGCGCGATGCAGCCGTCCCCGAGTCGCCCCGTTTCTGCTGCCTTCCCCGCTTTACACTCGGCTGACAGCCTTCACGGATCCTCTCGGCGCGATCCCGATGGCAGAGTGTGGCTGACTGTTGTCCTGCGACCCGCGGCGGGCTCTCCTGCCCATCGGGGCCACGCACCCTCACCACGCCTCCAGGCTGGGCCCCGCCCCAAACGCGATCAGGCCACTCCCCCACGCTCTCCGGCCCCGCCCCCACGAGCTCAGGCCCCGCCCCGAGCTCCGTTCCGGCCCCGCCCCCACTAGCTCAGGCCCCGCCCCGAGCTCCGTTCCGGCCCCGCCTCCAACCAGCTCATCCCGCCCGCGACTCTGGCCCCGCCCCTCCGCTCCGTTTGGAGTCGCGGCTCCAGCTGGGTCACTGCGGGGTGGGCTCAGGCGTCCCCTGTGAAACGCTCCCGGCCCCTGCAGCCCGCGCCTTGAAATGAATACTGGAGACATTTTGTCCGGAGGGATCGGACGGGACAAAATGACTTTCCGCTGCTTTCTCCCATTCCGAACCTTGCACTGAGAGCGGTGGCGCAGTAGATTCCAGTAGATTCCCGCGACCCGGTTTCTTTCTGCATATTTTGAGGGACCTCTGCAGCAGAACTGAGAACCCGTGCTCCTCCGAGCCTCTCAACCGACCTGCAGTGCCAGGCTGATGGGTAGAGGAAACAGTTCCTGCATCCCCTCTCATCTCCCGGAGATCTTTTCTTTCTTTTTTTTCTTTTAAGATCTAATTTATCTTTAATTTTTTTATTTTATAAAGTAGTTCACAATATTTCATTACATTTAATATTCAATACCAATCCCACCACCATTATACCTTCCCACCACCATATTTTCCATCCAGAACCCCAATCCCTGCCCCAATTCAGAACTGAAATAATACATTTTGTATTGTTTGTTATAAAAAAAAAACCTGAAAATTCTACAAAAAAGTATCCTTAGAAGAAAGAGTGTGGCGATTGTTGTATCTCATCCAGGGACCTTTAAGCCCTTCTATAAGAGATCTCTTACATGTTGTTAAAGGTGGATATTATATTTTATATATATCACTGTATCACTGTCATCCTGTTGTTCATCGATTATTTGAGTGGGCGCCAGTATCATCTCCATTCGTCCTAGCCCTGAGATTTTAGCAGACTCTCCTTACTCTTCTTTCCTAAAGCTGCTGTACTGGCGGCTCTTTCAAGGTCAGGGGAATAAGCCCTGTTATTGTTCAATATGCCAAAAACAGTAACAATTATATATATGTAAGAAATGTATTTCCCTCTAAGATTGGTTGCCTCCTGCTTTGACTTCTATCAAATGTGGTGCGGTAATCTTGGAGTATGGGTAGGGTTGTATGGTTTGAAGTATCACACGAGCAACACCCACGAATGAATCTCAGGGACCTTTTATAGGAACCCGGGGAGCTAGTGCCCACAGTTCTGTGCAGAACATACCACATGTTCATGTAAACTTGCTGTCTTTGCTGTCTTCCTTTACAACACTCAGTCCACCAAAAAAGGGCTCAGAGGTTATTTGAATTCTATTTGTTGACTCGAGCTCTTAGGCCAAATAACTCCAGTCTTGAGGAGCTTCACGACAGAGTCCCAACTGGAGTTTGGGTATGGCCAGAAAGTTAGAGAAGATGTCACAATTGGTTGATGGTGCCATAGAACTTGGTACATACAGATTTTATTAACTTAATTTGTAGCAATAATTTGGGGGTAGTGGACAGAAAGGATTCAATAAACTTCTTGACAAAACAAGCCTTTTCACAAGTGTAGAAAGATGCAGTGCCCCCTTCCCCAAAGTAAGACTAGCTACTTTTTTTTTGGCTTCTGGGGTCACACCCAGGGATACTCAGGCATTACTCCTGGCTCTGCACTACAGGAAATACTCCTGGCGGTGCTGGCGGAGGTGGGGGGACCACACGGGATGCCAGGAATAGAACCCTGGGTTGGCTGTAGGCAAGGCAAACACCCTATCTGTTGTACTATCACTCCAGCCCCAGACTTGCTACTTTTATTTCACCAGATGACAAGGGGGGAAAATCACAGTTTTTTTTCTCTTCTCTCCTTTCATTCTATTACTGACTTGAAAATGGGTAGGAATATTCAAAATGTTGTGTTGGAAGGAATCTAGAGAAAAGAAGTGTCAACAAAGCACACCTATTAACTTCACCCTGATCCTGAAAAACTTTTTCACTTATAAAATGTTTGAAGTATGAGTCACCTTTGCTTTGAAAAATGAACTCACAGGATTGGGCCCAAGTATAACTTTATCAATTACTGAGTTGAGGACAGGGAATGTAGTTCATTAGTAGTGTGACCATTTTTTTCCACATAAACCCAGCTCTCCAAAAAAAATGTTCTACAGTAGAGACAAGTACCAGGAGGATTACTCCACAGCTTAGAAGACAGCCTCGCATGACGGGGGAAAATGCAGCTCAGATAGAGAAGGGACCACCAAGTAAAGGGTGCTAGGAGGGCCCACTTGGGATGGGAGATTTGAACTGAAAATAGACTATAGACCAAATATGATGGCCACTTAATACCTCTACTGCAAACCACAACACCCAAAAGGAGAGAAAGAACAAAAGGGAGTGCACTGCCACAGAGGCAGGGTGAGGTGGAGTGGATGAGGCAGGGGTGGTGGGAGGGATGCTGGGACCATTGAACGGGCACTGGTGGAGGGACAGAACTCAACCATATTATGATTGAAACACAAGCACGAAAGTTTGAAAGTCTGTAACTGTACCCCACAGTGATTCACTAATATAAAAAAAACCAGCTCCTCTGGCCTTGGGGTTTGATCCTGGATACTTGCAGCCCAAATTAGAGCTGATTTCTATACAGCTACTAAGTACTTCACCTTCTTTCACAAATGACTTGAGCAAGCTTACTAAGATGTAGACAATTGTATTGAATGAAGGAAGTAGCTCAAGGAACTATAAAAGGGGACTTTAGTAGAAGGATGCTTATGAAGCCAATAATTGTAGCATTTAAGTATACAGGTCGAGAGGGTTTGTATACGTTAGGCCAGAAACTTGACTCTTTTGTTTTGAAAAAAAGAGGGAAGAGCAATCATTTCAAGGTTTTTTAGTGTTCCTGGGCTAGAGCGATAGCACAGCGGGTAGGGCATTTGCATTGCATGCAGCTGACCTGGGTTCAATTCCTCTGCCCCTCTCTGAGAGCCCGGCAAGCTACCGAGAGTATCCCGCCCGCACGGCAATGCCTCGCAAGCTACCTGTGAAGTATTCGATATGCCAAAAATAGTAACAACGAGTCTCACAATTTGTTGTGAGACGTTACTGGTGCCTGCTTGAGCAAATCGATGAACAACGGGAGGACAGTGCTACAGTGTTAGTGTTCGTGGGATGAAACTCAAGAAGTTGTTTTAAACACACTATTTTTTTTGCTTTTTGGGTCACATCTGGTGATGCTAGGGGTTTACTCCTGGCTCGTGAACTCAAGAATTACTCCTGGCGGTGCTCAGGGGACCATATGGGATGCTGGGAATTGAACCCTGGTTGGCCATGTGCAAGGCAAACGCCCTACCCACTGTGCTATTGTTCCAGCCCTGAAACACACATTTTAATTTTTTGGGGGGGCCATTAGTGACTGGGCTCAGGGAACTGTATGTGATGCCAAGGCAAGGATCAAACCCAGGTTGGCTGTGTGCAAGGCAAACGCTCTACCTTCTGTACTATTGCTTCCGCCCCAAGAAATGCACTTCTTTTTGAATTTTAGTCATAATATAGCACTGTAGCACTGTCCTCCCATTGTTCATCGATTTGCTCGAGTGGGCACCAGTAACGTCTCCATTGTGAGACTTGTTGTTACTGTTTTTGGCGTATCGAATAAACCATGGGTAGCTTGCCAGGCTCTGCAGTGCGGGCGGGATACTCTCGGTAGCGGTAGCTTGCTGGGCTCTCCAAAAGGACCATCATAAAATGTTGAATACCCCTCCCCTTTGTATAAACTCTCGGCACCATGATAAAGCACAGGTCTATGAACCACCAAAACATATCTGTTCCCGTGATCCACAAGCCCTCAATAGTTTGGCTTAGTCCATGTAGTATTTAGATCATCCTTCCCCTGAATAGCAACTGGGTTTCAATTCACATGATAGCTTTTGCTTTGGCAGTGGCTGCCTGAATGACCATGTTGAGTTTGTTAAGTTTTGTGGCTTTGCTTAGACCCTGAGGGAAAATTCTGTTTTTCATTAACAATGTTTGTAACAGGGTGCAGGAATGATAAATGGATGCATATAGGAAACTATTTAATATTTCTGATTTGTAAAAATAAATATCTTACATGCAATCGCTTCAAATTCACAATTCTCTCTTTAGGACTCTAAATTAATATCCTCCAGGAGAGTTCAAGGCCTGCTTTTCGTTTTCCCACCAACACAAGTCTTGACTTTCCATTCTTGTGTCAACATTTCCTTTTGCTTTCCTCAGTTGTTTGGACCATTCTTCGCTTAGATTCACATGGCTGGGTTTTTCCTATTATGTAGTCCCAGTAAAATGTCCCTTCTTTTGTTGTGTGTTTGGTTTGGGTGCCAAGGATGAAATCTAGGACCTTAAACAACTGAAGCATATGCTATCCCAAGTATAACTACTTTATAAATGGTTTTCCTGACAACCACATATGAAGTTCTATCCAGAGACTTTCAATTTGCATGAGACAAGGGGATCATCTGGCTTTTGTATTGCAGTGCAGACTTAAACTCAACTCAAGGACAGGAGATTCTGCATTTCATGAAACTTTGCAGGACAGTGAGCCTGAGAGACTCAAAAGCCACTTCAAGTAGTAGCTCCAACTCTCTAGCTTGGTCACATTCTCCGTCTCGTTTTCCTTATGGTGCTTATCAGAGTGTTGAAATTTGAACCTTATTTGCAATTTTGAAATGTATTTGTTTTATTTGTATACGTGATCATTTGTTGAGTTATTGTTTACTAAAATGCAAGTTACAGAAGAGTCACTTGTCACTTGTCATCCTGTTGACCATTGATTTGCTCGAGCGGGCACCAG